GTATTAAATTCGTTCCGTTAACCTTTGCGTTAAATAAATTATATCGCGACATTTATTTTGATTTCGTAAATGTCGGAATGTGTTATAATCATTAAAAATATTTTCCATATTTGTTTGGAAAATTATTATTTCATGTAAATCGTAATTACGGCAAATTTATCGGGTTCGACCGAAAGCACCGTCTAACGACAGTATCGGGTAGAATTCCTCCGGGCCACAAACTCAACCCCTATATAAGGGATTGAGTGACATCATTTTGAGGATCTTACTCTCTCTCTAAAAACTTTCTCTCACTACTCTCTCTCTCTAAAATCCGAAACTTAGCCAAAATCATCCAAAACAAGCTCCAAATCACTAAGGTAACTTCCCTAACTCATGAATTAGCATCTTAGACCTTCAAATTCGAGATTTTTATGAGGATTAGGACCATTAGCATGAGTTTACGGTCCTAGAACATCCCTAGGCCGTAAACTCATGAAAATGGGGTTTTTGTGCCATAAACCCTTCCAAAACACTTCTAGGGCTTAGATTCGACTTAGAAACTTGCATGCATGGACTAAGGACCCCAAAATCATGATATTTGATGTATGAACATGAGTTTACTGTCCAAGAACATGCTTGGATCGTAAACCCTTGTTCTTAGACCTTAAACACCTTTTTGGGTGTTAGTTTGCCCTTAAACACCTTCAATGAACTTCCATGAGTGCTTATATCCTTAGAACCCTTCTAGAAATGCACCAAAACATCATCAAATGGGATAAACTTGAGTTTACGGCCCAAGAACATTCTTGGACCATAAACCCACCTCCTTAGGCCGTAACCACCCCTCAAGGGGTGTTAAGGTGCCTTTAACCCCTTGAATAGCTTGGTTTTGGACCAGGAATCGCATGTGATTAACCTATAAACACCAACACCCATGGATCTTGGACAAACATGAGTTTACGGTTGTAAACTCATGTGTTTAAGGTAGTAAACTACCCAAGAACACCTTCATAGACCGTAAACTCCAATCCCAAGTCCATTTCAAGTCCTGATCACTTCCTAAGCCAAGTTTCCCGTGTGCATTGTAAGACTTTGTGGCATCCAAGAACACACCACGCATGAGTTTAGGATCGTAAGCTCTTGGGGAATGAGTCATTAGAACCGTAAACCCTCTTATGAATTTACTCTTGAGGAGTAAACTCCATATCCGAGCCTTATACGTCCTTAGATGTCACCCGGGTCACTCCAAACACTTGATTTGAAGTGTTTTCGCGTCTTGGAGTGTATAATCATATCTAATTAGTGATTTAAAGTCTAATTAGATACATTTTTATATCATGTCATATTACATAGGAACCTTACACGTTATCAACCCCCGAACTGATACTTAGCATCCAATCCGACACGCTTCTCGACCGGTGAGTTCATACCCCTACCCTTTTTCAAATGTTTTTCACTGTTTTCAGAGAGGGGGGGGGGGGGGAATACAAAAAAATTACAAGGAAATCTTTTACTCCAACTTATTGTTTTCAGTTCAATTGATTTTATTCTGTATGTTCTAATATTAAAAACTGTGTTTATCAAATAGTTCGAATTACGAAGTAGCTTTCAGACTAGTCACATATTTCATGACAAAATGCTGCAATCTAAAATTATATTTTATAATCTACGAATAGTAATACGAAACTATAATTAGGAATACAACGAATAGGAATACTAAAGTAATCATGCGAATACAAATACAAATACGAATATGAATACGAATACAAATATGAATAGTATTAGGAGTAGGATTAGGGATACGAATACGACTGCGAATAGGAATACGAATACGAATGCGAATATGATTACGAATACGAATACGAATACAAATACGAATACGAATACAAATACGAATACGAATACGAATATGAATACGAATACGAATACGAATAGTATTAGGAGTAGGATTAGGGATACGAATACGACTGCGAATACGAATACGAATACGAATACAAACACGAATACGAATAGTATTAGGAGTAGGATTAGGGATACGAATACGACTGCAAATACGAATACGAATACGAATACGAATACGAATACGAATACGAATACGAATACGAATACGAATACGAATACGAATAGTATTAGGCGTAGGATTAGGGATATGAATACGACTGCGAATACGAATATGAATACGAATACGAATACGAATACGAATACGAATACGAATACGAATACGAATACGAATGCGAATACGAATACGTATATGAATAGTATTAGGAGTAGGATTAGGGATAGGAATACGATTGCGAATACGAATACGAATATGAATACGAATACGAATACGAATACGAATACGAATACGAATATGAATGGGATTAGGAATAGGACTAAGAATACGAATACGAATGCGAATGCGAATACGAATAGGACTACAAATATAATACGAATACAAATATAAATTATAACTATGAATATGATTAAGAATAGGAATACGAATACAATGACATGTATCTAGGTACAATCCAGTGAAACACCATTAGGATATCAGAATACCTAGTTAATACAATAAGTACGAATGGAAATCAATCATTACATCGAAATTCAATAACTAAACATACTTTTAGGAAAGTATGGGACTTTCCTAGGGAACGTTACATAACTAGAAAAGTCTAATAAACCAGATAACTTTATATCTTTCACAATTGGTAACATACAATCAGGAAAGTATGAGACTTTTCTGGGATCATAGTTAAACATAACCAGAACCGTGTAACCTAACAATTAATCAAACATTACTTTTAAGAAAATATGGGATTTTCTTGGATAACAAACTTTTCGGTAAACCAAAGGAAACTCGTACATTTTCAGAAAACAACCCTCTTATGAACTCACCAGCTTTATGCTGATTTTCAAACTGCTTGTATTCTCAGGTCTACATTAGACAGGTACCTAGCGATCCTTTTGGAGAAGACGGAGCGTACAGAAGACTCGTATCTACTTTTGTTCATATATACTATGTATCACAAATGTACAACTTTACTTTTGAACAAATGTAAGCTTTGATATGTAATGTAATGGTTGTTTACTTTGCTTACTATGTGCATTGGATTTGATACTCAATGTGGAGTCCGCCCCGGAAATGTTTCCGCCTTAGGTTTTTGGGGTGTGACAGATTGGTATCAGAGCCCTTGTTTATAGTGAACTAGTATACCAAACCTTACATGGTATAACTCTATAAACACTAAAGGGCCTAAGTGCTCTGAACTAAAAGTATACCTTAAAATATAAGTATTTTCAAAAGCATACAAAGTATACCCAAGCATCGAAATCCGTAACTACAAGTAGAACAAAACATAAGTAAATGGGTGTTGTGCACTGCGGTTAAACCTGGGCAGTTATGTAGTCGTGTCTAGGATCAATATAGCCTGGCCAACTATATTCATTCGAGACACGACCAACATGTGCTTCGGAGTGACTGTGGTGTGCGGCATGCCTAAAACTTACCCAATACCCAAACAATGAGCCGTTGTTGCAACGATACAAGAAATACTATGGGAGTATTTCTCGAGCCAAATTCGTTATAGAATTCCTCATCCCAGCATCTCTCCTCAATCATCCCTTTTAGCGATAATTTATCTATTTTTGATAATTCATTCCTGCTTATTCGCTTAATAGAATTCTATGTCTGTTATAAAGAGATATCCCTTGTTTCATATCTCTAGATTCAATTCAGAGGACTTACCATCCTCTTTTTCCTGATCTTTTTAAATCAAGATATCTCCAAAGAAAGGACCTAGCCCAAGGAACAACAACTCTCCGCCGCCATACTCTCCTCCGTTCAACAAATTTCAGAGAGCCAGCTACTTCTCATAGATAGAGCTTTGAAGCATTCATTGGCATGGATTGATTGAATCTCAATCGTGATGAATTCCTTTGTTCCGAAAAATCTATCCATCTCAACCTTCCCCCTGGTCAAACTCTTATAATCTACGACAATAAACTTAGTTTCAGCCATTGCCACAAGTGTATTCCTCTTCGACAATCCTTCTGCTTGCAATCCCTTTTTCAATTCTAGTCCTAAAAGATAAACTGTTACCTATTCATTCGAACATCTTCATAAACATAGCCCTCAACTAATAACCGAAACATTTACCATCGAGATAGTTAACGGTGAGAAAGAAGGCATGTCACATTCTGAAACACGCATCCCGAGGTACATAGAACTTTTCGAAATCCCCATTAGGATTGATCCCGTAACCTACGAACTCCGACTACCCTCAGGATTTAGTAGCACCCACCCGGTATTCCACGCCTCTTTCCTTAAGAAGTGCCTACCCGATGAAACCATAGTAATCCCTTTGAAGAGACCGAAATCAACGAAAGTCTAAACCTTATGGTAAGAGCCAATCAAAATCATAGAGCGAGAGATTAAATGTATGAAGCAAGCCGTCTCCCGATAAGTGAAATGTTCCACGAAATGCCATGCGAGAATCCGAATTCACTTGGAAGCGTGATGATCCAATAGAACAAAAGTATCCGTATCCTCTTTCCAATTACGTGAGTCGCATCTAACGTTTGAATTTCGAAACGAAATTCCCTCTAACGGGGGGATAATGTGACAACCCGAAGTTCGCTCCGTCGTCGTAACCCGATACGTAGGGATGAGCAAGAGAACCGAACCGGCCGGAACCGGCCGGAACCGAACCGGACCGGGGAACCGGATTCGGCAAAAATGAAGAACCGAACCGGCCCGGCGGTTCTACCGGTTCCGGTTCCGGGTCCGGTTTTTGCCGGTTTTTCGAGTATGGAACCGGCTAAATTTTGATGTACCCAACGACTAAATTACTTTGCGTTTTATTGGTTTTTCGGGTCCGATTTTTGCCGGGTTTTCGAGTAATTCCAACGACTAATTTACTTTGCGTTTTATTGGTTTTTTATAAAGAAGTGGATGTTTAAATACTAGTAAATAATCAACATTTTAATAATAAACATTTTAATAAATGATTCAACATTGAAGCAAATTAACCATGGGTCTTTTATTTAAATTATTACAAGCAAATTAAACATGGATGTCGTCAAAATATACTTCAACATTTAACATTCAAAATACACTTTCGACATTCAAAATATACTTCCAAGTTTCACCAACAAAAAAAAAAAGTCTAATATGTGGATTCCAACATTTCTTTGATATTTTGACTAATTTCCCGATCTCTTCCCCGTTAGCTTCAAGTTGTGTATAGCATCCACAATGTCTATATATAATTCAAAAGAAAAACGTTATTACTTACTAAAATGTAACAAATACTAATAAGAAGTTAAAAGTAAGATGTAACAAGTATTTGTATTACCGATAGCGAGATCATCGTCAGCTAACACATCGTGCACTTCGTCGTAGTCATATATAGGCAAGCTACTCTTTCTTAGCCAATCTTGAGTGCATATCAATGCCTCCACAATCACAACGGACAAATTAGTACGGTAGTCGGTAATTACTCGACGACCATTACTGAATGTGGATTCGGATGCTACGGTGGAAATTTGCATCCCCAAAATATCTATTAATAAACAAATTAGTGTATAACACACGACACAAATTTATAAATTAAAAATTTAAATTATAGTAAAAGAAGGTCGATACCTCTTGCCATTCGAGCAACGATCGGGAACCGCACCGCATTATTTTTCCACCATGTGAGGATATCATATCCTTTGTCAAATCCGATTGGGTCCTCGTTTAAGTATCGTTGCAATTGACTTTCTGACGAAGTCGAGGGGAAACTTCCCGAAGTCATATAGCTTCCAAAGAATTCGTTTTCGTCATCAAAATTAACAACTTCTTCGGGAGTTTCTTGTTGAGACGATGAGGTCATGTTTGACCTTTCCAAGTATGTCTTGAAAAACTTATCCAATTTGCATTCAATATCAATAACCTTTGCACGTGCTTTGGATTCTATCTCATCAGCGGACATCTTTTTATCTTTGTTTTTGGCTTTAAGCATTTGGGTAAAAACAACTTTCATAAACTTTGACTTGCATTGAGGATCTAACAATGTGGCAAAGAAGACATAATCACTTATAGTATCATAAATATTTGTCATATTTATCTTTCATATCCGGTACCATAAACATAAAATCCGGGTTGGTTTCATGTTTCCTAAGATGTTGCTCTATATCTAGGATCTCCCGGGTATACGTATGGAAGATAGGCTTTGTTGAACACGAAACTTTTTCAATTTTCTTCTTAAACTTCTCAAGGAACTCCATCATCTTTTTAATCATCTCAAAATCTGAATGTGATGGTACCCTTCCCACAGTTTTCTAAAACATTGGATCTACAAAAAAAGAACAACAAAATCAGATTACGTTTTATTGTTGTTAGAAAAAAAAATCAGATTTGACACCCTTCCTTGCGGGGCTTGTAATTCATTCAATTTTTAACCAAATCAAGCGTTTTTATAGTCTAAATTCCACTACTAATCCTAATCTACATGTAGGAAAAAGATTCAGGTCAAAACAAGTTAAATTGAATGAGTTATGCACATTTGAACAACAAAAGCACATCACGTTTTATTGCTGTTAGAAAAAAAATTCAGATTTGACACCCTTCATTGCGGGGCTTGTAACTCATTCAATTTTTAACCAAATAAAGTGTTTTTATACTCTAAACTCAACTACAAATCCTTATCTACATGTAGGAAAACGATTCAGGTCAAAACAAGTTAAATTGAACTAGTTATGCACAATTTAATATTTGGACTGATTGCTAAAGAAATAAATATTGCTAATTTTAGTGCTGAAATATATTTGATTAATTGATTTTATTTACCTTGATGGCTATATTCGAGAAATGCATCTTTCACATCGTATGCTGATCTTAGCAATTCAAAGGTAGAGTTCCACCTTGTTGGAGTTTCACCACACAAAAACCTTTGACTTTCTACAGCCGCATCCTTCATGGCTTGTTTAAAGGTCTTGATCCGTTGCGGGGAGGCTCTAATGTATTTCACCGCATCTTGTAGGTTTTTTACATGATAAACTTTGTGTTTTAACCCCATTTTCACAACTAGGTTTATGATATGAGCCATACACCTAATGTGAAAATGTTTTCCATTCTCGTAAATACCCGGTAGTTCTTTCACAATGATGTTGATTGCCGCGTCATTTGTCTTCGCATTATCAACGGTCATCGTCATGACATTCTTCATCCCCCACTCGTTTATGCAAATTAGCAACTCCCGGGCCATGTCTTCAGCTTTGTGAGTATCAATCTCTCTAAAATTGACTACCCTTTTGTGCATGACAAAATCTTCGGTAATGAAGTGGGCCGTGACAACCATATAATTTATCTTTTGACACGAGGATGTCCACGTGTCGGTTGTCAAGTGGATGGCTGTTTTGGGGTTGCTCAAATGTTTGTACAACTTCTGCCTCTCCATTAAATAGAATGACACAACATCACGAGAAATTTTATGCCTTGAAGGCAATTTCACCCTACCATTGAGGGCGTTCACAAATTCTATGAATGCCTCGTTTTCAATGAATTTAAATGGTAGTTCGCCGATAGTGAAAAGGCCTAGCAAGGCAAGTTGGATCCTACTATCATCATGTTTCCATGTGTATACATGACCCTCACCATTAGGAGCTTTCGTAAATGACAACTTTTGTTGTTTGTCATCAACTTCTTTCGGTATGTTGTCTGGATTTAACTTGCACCCATTAAAATGCTTATTTATTGAAGTTGTCCCATTCCGGTTTGGATCCGCAGCTAGTAAATGTAAACAATAATTACATTCGGCCCACTTTCTTTCAATTCCATCGTCCTCCTTTATCCATTCTATCTCGAAGTATTTCCAAACAGGAGCGGTACAATTATCTCTACCCTCACCTCGTCTAGTTGGGTTAATCCGGTCCCTTAACTCTTTTTGAGTCTTTTTTTTTTGTTTTTGGGTTTTGGTTTTGTTGGGTATTTTTCTTGTGTTCGTTTTTGTGGTGGTGGTGGTTTTTTTGTTTGTGTTGGTTTTTTTGGTTGTCTTCGTTTTTGTGGGGTTGCAAATTTTCGTTTTTTTGAAGGTTGTTGTTCTTGTGGCTCCTCTTCTTGGTTTGATTCATCACTTGGTATGACATTCCATGCCGGTGTTTCTTCTATATAATCTTCTTCTGAATCTTCTCCATAATCCTATATTCTCAAAATAAAACATATAATAAGTCATATTATGTTTAAATGCTGAAAAAGAAATATTAAAAAAAAAATAGATTTGACACCCTTTCTTCCGGAGCTTGTAAGTCATTCAAATTTTAACCAAATCAAGCGTTTTTATAGTCTAAATTCAACTACAAATCCTAATCTACTTGTAGGAAAAAGATTCAGGTCTAAACAAGTTAAATTGAATGAGTTATGCACAATTGAACAACAAAATCAGATCACGTTTTATTGTTGTTAGAAAAAAAAAATCATATTTAACACCCTTCCTTGCGGGGCTTGTAACTCATTCAATTTTTAACCAAATTAAGCGTTTTTATAGTCTAAACTCAACTACAAATTCTAATCTACATGTAGGAAAAAGATTCAGGTCAAAAAAAGTTAAATTGAATGACTTATCAACAATTCAAAATTTGGATAGATTGCTAAAAAAGTAAATATTGCTAATGAGTTAAATGCTAATCTTACTTGATCATCAAAGTCTTTTCCAATCCAATTAGCCGGATTACCATCTTCAATATTGGCATCATGAACATCCGAGTTTCGGTATCTTGATGATGGTACATTTGGTAACCCATCTAAATCCTACATTGTCAATTTCACACATTAATTATATAACAAAAGTACTAAACAAATTTGTAGTTTTGACAATCTTACATAATTACATTCATACTATAAACAGTAAACTAATCTAATAAAAATCTTGCATGTATGTCTACAAAGTACATTGTTAAATGGAGCTTAAAACATGAAACATATATTATATGTACAACCTTTCATCCGTAAAGGAGTACTCCACTATGAGAGTATGATCAAAAATCAAGATCTTTTAATTAACTAGGGATAACAATGCATATATTTGGAATGGATACAACAAAAGCAAAGAAAAAAAGCTTGCATGCATGCCATTATTTGGAGAATCATTGAAGCATTGAAACAAATATTGAAATATATAATCTTAAAACATGAAATATAAATATATGCTCTTACTTGATCTTCATGGACATCCATAGTTTGAATCATTGAAGCAATTGAAGATGAAAATCAATGAAGAATTGAAGGATGATAAAGAATTGAAGATCGGTTTAAAATTGGAGATGGAAACTTGTAATAGATGGAAACTTGGAGATGAAGAATTGATTCAATTGAATGATGATGAATGAAGAGATGCCGATTGCCAATTGATGAAGATGATAGCGAGTAGGGTTCGGCAGTGGGGGAGTTGCGATCGCGGCCGACTCGATTGCGTGTTTTTTTTTTGTGTTACGTGAAGATAGCGACAATGCGACTAGAAGATTGCCGCATGCGTGTACAAAGAAGCTGCGAGTTGCGACAGTAGGGATATGGGGTTTTAAGCCGGGCCGGTTCCCGGTTTTGGGCCGGTTCCAATAGCCGGTTCTTTCCGGGTCCCGGTTCCAAATAATCACAAATTTATGGTATAGGTCCCGGCCCGACCGGTTCCATCGGGTGCCGGTTCCGGGACCGGTTCCGGTTCTGGGACCGGTTCCGGCCGGTTCCCCGGTCCTTTTGCTCATCCCTACCGATACGTCATTAAAAATCCATTGTATTAAATGCTTTCCGTTAACCTTTGCGTTAAATAAATTTTATCGCGACATTTATTTTGATTTCGTAAATGTTGGAATGTGTTATAATCATTAAAAATATTTTCCATATTTGTTTGGAAAATTATTATTTCATGTAAATCGTAATTACGACAAATTTATCGGGTTCGACCAAAAGCATCGTCTAACGGCAGTATCGGGTAGAATTCCTTCGGGCCACAAACTCAACGCCTATATAAGGGATTGAGTGACATCATTTTGAGGCTTTTACTCTCTCTCTAAAAACTTTCTCTCACTACTCTCTCTCTCTAAAATCCGAAACTTAGCCAAAATCATCCAAAACAAGCTCCAAATCACTAAGGTAACTCCCCTAACTCATGAATTAGCATCTTAGACCTTCAAATTCGAGATTTTTATGAGGATTAGGACCATTAGCATGAGTTTACGGTCCTAGAACATCCCTAGGCCGTGAACTCATGAAAATGGGGGTTTTGTGCCATAAAACCCTTCCAAAACACTTCTAGGGCTTAGATTCGACTTAGAAACTTGCATGCATGGACTAAGGACCCCAAAATCATGATATTTGATGTATGAACATGAGTTTACTGTCCAAGAACATGCTTGGACTGTAAACCCTTGTTCTTAGACCTTAAACACCTTTTGGGGTGTTAGTTTGCCCTTAAACACCTTCAATGAACTTCCATGAGTGCTTATATCCTTAGAACCCTTCTAGAAATGCACCAAAACATCATCAAATGGGATAAACTTGAGTTTACGGCCCAAGAACATTCTTGGACCATAAACCTACCTCCTTAGGCCGTAAACACCCCTCAAGGGGTGTTAAGGTGCCTTTAACCCCTTGAATAGCTTGGTTTTGGACCAGGAATCGCATGTGATTAACCTACAAACACCAACACCCATGGATCTTGGACAAACATGAGTTTACGGTTGTAAACTCATGTGTTAAGGTAGTAAACTCCCCAAGAACACCTTCATAGACCGTAAACTCCAATCCCAAGTCCATTTCAAGTCCCGATCACTTCCTAAGCCATGGAATCAACCCTAGAACTTTCCTGTGCGCATTGTAAGACTATGTGGCATCCAACAACACACCACCCATGAGTTTATGGCCATAAACTCATGGGGAATGAGTCATTAGAACCGTAAACCCTCTTATGAGTTTACTCTTGAGGAGTAAACTCCATATCCGAGCCTTATACGTCCTTAGATGTCACCCGGGTCACTCCAAACACTTGATTTGAAGTGTTTTCGCGTCTTGGAGTGTATAATCATATCTAATTAGTGATTTAAAGTCTAATTAGATACATTTGTATATCATGTCATATTACATAGGAACCTTACACGTTATCAACCCCCGAACTGATACTTAGCATCCAATCCGACACGCTTCTCGACCGGTGAGTTCATACCCCTACCCTTTTTCAAATGTTTTTCACTGTTTTCAGGGGGGGGGGGGAATACAAGCAAAAGTACAAAGAAATCTTGTACTCCAACTTATTGTTTTCAGTTCAATTGATTTTATTCTGTATGTTCTAATATTAAAAACTGTGTTTATCAAATAGTTCGAATTACGAAGTAGCTTTCAGACTAGTCACATATTTCATGACAAAATGCTGCAATCTAAAATTATATTTTATAATCTACGAATACTAATACGAAACTATAATTAGGAATACAACGAATAGGAATACTAAAGTAATCATGCAAAGACTAATATGAATACGAATACGAATACGAATATGAATAGTATTAGGACTAAGATTAGGGATACGAATACGACTACGAATACGAATACGAATACGAATTGGAATACGAATACGAATACGAATACAAATATGAATACAAATACGAATACGAATAGTATTAGGAGTAGGATTAGGGATACGAATACGACTGCGAATACGAATACGAATACGAATACAAATACGAATACGAATAGTATTAGGAGTCGGATTAGGGATATGAATACGACTGCGAATACGAATACGGATTGTATTTGGCGTAGGATTAGGGATATGAATACGACTGCGAATACGAATACAAATACGAATGCGAATACGAATACGAATACGAATAGTATTAGGAGTAGGACTAGGGATAGGAATACGACTGCGAATACAAATATGAATACGAATACGAATACGAATACGAATACGAATATGACTACGAATACGAATACGAATACAAATACGAATACGAATACGAATACGAATACTAATACGAATGGGATTAGGAATAGGACTAAGAATATGAATACGAATACGAATGCGAATACGAATACGAATAGGACTACAAATATAATACGAATACAAATATAAATTATAACTATGAATATGATTAAGAATAGGAATACGAATACAATGACGTGTATCTAGGTAAACTCCAGTGAAACACCATTAGGATATCAGAATACCTAGTTAATACAATAAGTACGAATGGAAATCAATCATTACATCGAAATTCAATAACTAAACTTACTTTTAGGAAAGTATGGGACTTTCCTAGGGAACGTTACATAACTAGAAAAGTGTAATAAACCAGATAACTTTATATCTATCACAATTGGTAACATACAATCAGGAAAGTATGGGACTTTTCTGGGATCATAGTTAAACATAACTAGAACTGTGTAACCTAACAATTAATCAAACATTACTTTTAAGAAAATATGGGATTTTCTTGGATAACAAACTTTTTGGTAAACCAAAGGAAACTCGTACATTTTCACAAAACAACACTCTTATGAACTCACCAGCTTTATGCTAATTTTTAAACTGCTTGTATTCTCAGGTCTACATTAGACAGGTACCTAGCGATCCTTTTGGAGAAGACGGAGCGTACAGAAGACTCGTATCTACTTTTGTTCATATATACTATGTATCACAAATGGACAACTTTACTTTTGAACAAATGTAAGCTTTGATATGTAATGTAATGGTTGTTTACTTTGCTTACTATGTGCATTGGATTTGATACTCAACGTGGAGTCCGCCCCGTAAATGTTTCCGCCTTAGGTTTTCGGGGTGTGACACTTTACGTGATATATCGGCCTTAGGAGCCCATATCTACCTTTTGGTTAAGTTTTGCACATCAAAAATCGACTTATGGACTTGGTCATTAGTAGACTTGACGAGTCCGTTTTGGGACCCGACGAGTCATGTGTTGATTCCCCAAATCAGTTCGGGGTTCAAGGGAACCCAGTTGAGTTTAGAAGAGATTAGATGAGTCCGGAGGAGTGACTCAATGTATTAGGACATAGCCTTGGCCTGGAAACCATGGGAATCGGTGAGTGGAAGAACATACTCGGCGAGTCCAAGTCAATCTCCAAACCAATGAAGATAGACTCGACGAGTTGTTCATACAACTCGATGAGTCACAGACTGGACGTGTTCATATGATGAAGATAGACTCGACGAATTGTTCATACAACTCGGTGTGTCGGTTAAAGTTTGTCCCGATATCATGAATAAAGGAGTACTCGTCGAGTTCTTGCAAAACTCGGCGAGCAAAATCGGGTGGAGGACAAATGAAGGACTAGGGGACTCGATGAGTTGGAGGGCCAAGTCTGCGAGTTAGGTCAACTGGAAGTTCATTTTGACCAGGATGTTGACTCTAGCCACAATGCCGGCCCGTTTAATTAGTAGAAGTTTCCAAACCTCGGTCTGATGCAGTAGTTAGAATGTTTGATGCCTACATGGCTCAGACAATGTTTATGTGTTATGTATTCCAGGCTACAACCCGATGCAGTATGCAATTTATGTGTTCATGCTAGTTGATATGTTTATGCTATGTTATATATTGCTCAGATAGTTCCCGGAATTCGGTCCGATTCAGTTAGTTCCGGACTTTGGTCCGATGCAGGGGACAAGGTCCCAGTCAGTTCCGGACTTCGGTCCGATGCAGTTAGTCCCGGACTTTGGTCTGATGCAGAGGGTAAGGCCCTGGTTAGTTCTAGACTTCGGTCCGATGCAGTGGGCAAGGCCCAGTATGTGTTATATGTTATTGTATGGTCTGTGGTAGTTTGGGGGAGCTCACTAAGCTTTATGCTTACAGTTTCAGTTTTGGTTTCAGGTACTTCTGCAAGTAAAGGGAAGGGCTCGGGTTGATGGCATCGCATACACCACAACTTCAGTTTGTCCTTGGAGTTGTTTTAGTTTTTTCACAGATGTGATTTGATATAGTCTTGATATAGTTTTCTCATGATACTTTGCTATGGTTTTGAGTTATTGACGTATGGGTTTTATTTTATGATATTGACATGATGTTTTCAGTAATTATTAAACAAAAATTTTTGGGTCGTATTTTTGGGATGTTACAAGTTGGTATCAAAGCCTTGGTTTGAGGGATTTAGATACACTTCTGGGTGTGTCTGAACTCAAAATAAGGAAACGGTAAAGTTTTTCAAAAGAAAAATGTTTTTGAAAAAAAAAAAAGATTTTCAAAAAAGAGCTTAGAAAGAAGAAGAGTTTTTATGAAAAGGAAAAGGGTGTGGT